CTCCATGTACCCCAGATCCCCCAATCTGCTTCAGACCCCCCACATACTCCTCCAGACTCCCCCCATCCACCCCACACCTCCCGGAATCCCCCCCGGCTCCTCCGCCGTTTCCCCCAGGGTCCCCCCAATCCGCCCCATTCCCCCCTGTGCCCCTCAGACCCCCTCCATCTACCCCAGACCCCCCCAACCTCCCCCAGACCCCTCGCGCCAACCCCCCCGCTCCTCCCCCGTCCCCCCCAGGATGCTCCCCCCGTTCTCCCCGTGTCGGGGCGGTGACACCGGGCGGGAGGTGACACGGGGGTGGCCCCCCCGTCCTCCCCTCCCCTCCCCGGGCCGGGGGGCGGCGCGGCGGCGGCGGCGGAGACGGACCCGCACCCACCGCCCGCACCCACCGCCCGCCTCCCGCGGGCGGCGGCAACAAAGGCCCTTCCCCGCCCCCGCCGCCGCCTCCCGCCGCCTCCCGCCGCCGCCGCCACCGTCCTTGCGGCAGGAAGATGCCCGGGGAGGTGCCGCCGCCGGCGCCCCGGGGGCTGCGGAGCCTCCCGGTGCCGCTCCTGCTCCTGCTGCTGCTGCTCAGCGCCCGCACCGCGCTGGTGAGTGCGGGGGCACCGGCGGGGAGGGGGCCAGGGGGCACCGGGAGGGGGCATCGGCACCGGGAGGGGGTCGGAGGGGGGATTGGCATCGGCACCGGGAGGGGGGTGAGGCGGGATCGACACCGGCACCGATCGGGCGGGGGGCACCGGGCGGGGGACGAGGGGGCAGCGGGGATCGCTGCGGGAGGGGGGTGGGATGGGAGCGGGATCGGCACCGGGAGAGGGTCAGAGGGGATCGGCGCTGGCTCCGGGAGAGGGATGAGGTGGGATTGGCACCGGCACCGAGAGGGGGTCGAGGGGGCACCGGCACCGGACGAGGGAATCGGCACCGGCACCGGGCGGAGGGCGAGGGGGGCTCGGCATCGGCACCGGGAGCGGGGTGAGGTGGGATCGGCACCAGCGAGGGAGGGGGCGCGACCGGCACCGCACGGGGGTCAACGGGAATCGGCATCGGGAGTGAAACCGGGAGGGGAGCGGCCCCGGCCCCGGGCGGGGGCTCAGCGGGGACCGGCACCGGCATCGCGTGTGCATCGGGACCGGCAGGAAAAGGGGGGTGTGGAGCGGGACCGGCATCGTGCACGGGCTGGCACCGGGGAGCTGGGAGCGGCATCGGCACCGAGCGGGCATCGGCAGCGGACGGGGGGCACCGGGCTGGGGGCGTGGGGGGACCGGCACCGTGCGGGGGGCACCGGCACCGTGCGGGGTCTGGCAGCGGCACATGAGGGTGGAAGGAGGGGGCGGCACCCGCCCTGGTACCCACACCCGCCGTGCAGGGGGGTCATGGAGACCGGCACCCGGCTTTGGGGGGCTCCGGGACCCACACCCTGCTGGGGGGGACACCCCGCTCCCGAGGGGCTCCGCTGCCCCCCCCGCCCCTGCCAGCCCCTCCCTGCCCGCACAGCCCCCCCAGACCCCATCGCAGCCCCCGGGGGTGTCCCCTCCCGTGCGACCCCCGGGCGGGGCCGGGCGGGGAGGGGGCCGCGGGGGGGCTGCAGGCAGCTGCCGTTTGAAGGTCGTAGGGAAACACGCCTTAAAAACGCGCCGTGCCCTGGGAGAGGGAGGAATCCCCCTCCTGCTGCTCGGGGGCAGGAGGAGCTGGAGGGGTTTTGCCCCTCCTGCCTCCCCCTCCCCTCTCCATCCCCAGCCCCCGGCGGGGTGGTGGGGGCAGATCCAGCCCTGCCTGCGCAGGCAGCGCCTGGTTTTCCCGGAGAACAGGAGAGGGTTCCATGTGGCCGAAGGAAAAGGCTCTGTGCTTCCTCGTGGCACTTCCAAAATTGTTTCTCCCCGCCGACACGCTCCGGCTGGGAGACCCTCCATGGGAGCCACCCTGCCCTGCCTGCACCCTGCCTGCACCCTGCCCTGCCCTGAGCCGTGTGCTGGAGCATTTTTGGGGGACCAGGGCACTGGTTTTGGGGTGATGCTCTACAGGAAGGACCCTCCTGCAGCCAGAAGATGCTTTTTCCACACAACCTGCCCAGCCCAGGAGAGCGTGGTGGGGAGGAAGGCTGCCTCCTCCTCCTCTTAAAGAGAGGGGAAGAAGTCCCAGGGCCTGGCTCTATAATAACCCAGAGCTCGTCCCCCTCCTCCTGAGGGTCTGCTTTGAGGGCACCCCTATTTCTGGGTAAGGGGTGTTCCCAGCAGCAGCAATTCCCCTCTGGAATAGAGATACAGCTTCGGTGTTCCCGAGGAAGCTGCTGTGGAGGGGACAGGATACACTCAGCTGATACCTCTGGCAAATCCGCTGGATCCAAGGGCACTTTGTTAAGCCCAGTATTGCCTTTGCTATTGCTCCTGGGAATCCCACACTCTGCTGGCAGCTCCCCCCCGTCACTGGGTACCCACGGGGGTGAGAGGTGAGTGTGGCTGTGCTGGGGTCTCCAGCGCCCTTGGTGGGTGTGGGGTCAGCTGTGAGGGTGCTCATTCCTCCTCCCCAGATGAGCTTTTCCCCTTCCCAGTTTGGGGAATTGTAGTTGCTGGATGTGACACAGGCGGTTGTTGGTGTTTGCTGAGGATGTTTAGGCAGCAGAGGCCACGAGCTTGTTCAGTGCCAGGATGGGATTGGGATGCAACCATGGGCCTGAGGGAATGGAGGAGGCTGCTTTCTCCCCCCTGGATGGGATCAAGGCCTCTCCTCTCCCTTTCCTGAAGCTTTTAAATCATCCGTTATTGTTGGATGAAGACTCGACTTCTTCCCGGGGGAGCGAGGACTTGGCACAGCTCTGGCACATGCCAGTCACTGCCACAAGAATGGGATGGGGGGTGGATTTGGGGACCCTGCTGCAGTTGCTGCCACAGCCCCACTGCCGGATCCCGGGCCCTGCCAGGGAGCAGAGTTTATTCCCTGTTTGCACTGCAGAGACCGGATGAGCGACTCCAGCTCCGCTGGCACCGAGCCTGGGAGCTCCCCGGGATGAGCATCTCCCTGTCCCCATCCCGGGGGAGCACGGAGAGACAGAGGGACGGGGCTGCAGCCTCGGCACGGGGACCTGGCTTTGCTGGAGCGTTTCAAAGTGTAACGAGTCTCCCGGGACTCAGCGCTTCCCTTTGATCTCCCGGTGTGTCTGTGATCCCTCGGCCCCGGGCTTGGGGAAGCTGGGATGGATCCCGCTGGGATTGGTCCCTGTAACCCTTTGTGTGCCTCTGTGGGAGGCTGTAGGGCGGGGGCTGCCTCTCCTGGTGGGACTCCCGTGCTGGCAGTGGGTTTTCCTGGTAGTGTCACGGCCGGGTTTGGTTTGGGCTGTGATTCCCCAAGGCTGGGAAGCCCACGAGCTCCCCCTGCCCATCCCTGGTCCTGCCTAACCCCCATTTCCTGCCTCATCCCCTTGAAGCTGGACACAGACCACCTTGGGAGAGGACAGGGCACACCCAGGCTGGAGCTGTGCCCGTGGTGGGGGTGAGATCAACCCCTGATCAGACACCCGAGGATCCAAGAGTGGGCTCTTTCCTGGGCTGTTCGGAGAACTGGCTGCTCCCCACCCTGCAGACCCCACACAGGCTGGGGGAATTGCTGCTTCCTCCTCCTCTTCTTCCTCCTCCTTGCAGGACCTTGGGTGCTGGGAGCTGAGTGGCATCAGGGGAGCGCTGGGGACAGAGGGAGCAGGGCAGGGGGCAGGAGAGCCGGCTCTGCTCCCGGGAATTGCCGTGCTGAGGAGCTTTAGGCAGCGAGGGAGGCTGTGGGTGGGGCCGGGGAGGGTGGGCACACCCAGCCCCGTGTGCCACCCCCTGCCCGGGGTCCCCCAGCCCTCGAGGTGGGCTCAGGGGGCTTTGCCGTGGCCCCAGCGCCGGCCCAGCCCCAGCTTAGGGATCAACTCGTCACCTTAATTACTGAGAGCGTTGAGGAGCTGTAACCTCTGCACAGGTCCTGGCCACTCTGTCCCTGGAGCAGTGCCTGGGATGGCTCCAGGGCCAGCCTGGTCCTGCTCTGCTTTCTAGGGCATTGGGAAGGTGCTTTGGTTTTAGCTCTGGAGTGTGTTTGTGGGGCTCTCTCAGTGAGGGTCACTGTGGAATGATGTCCCTTTCTCCTTACAGTGCCTTAAAATCCTCCCTTGGCTCAGTCCCCAGGGATAATGAGGAATGCAGAGGTGCCCCCTGGGCCTGCAGAGGATTGGGGTGAAGTCCCCACTGCTCTGCAGAGGATTGGGGGGGATTCAGCATCTCCCACAGCTCCAGGTCCCACCAACACTGACACGAGGGGTTGGGGCTTTACAGGCCCCCCTTGTTCCCATGATGTTTTCCAGGGGTCTGGGCTCAGCAGCTCCTGGCATTGGGACTGGGGGAGGGGGGTCTTTCCCTTGTGAGGTCTGTGGGTGCTCTGGGGTCAGTCGTGAGGTGTAATGACTTTGCAAGGACTCAGCCTGGCTGCCAGGGGTGGATTTGAACTCCCTGTTGTGAGCTGGGGGAACACAAGGGTTTAATCCAGCCCTGTTCGTAGGGACATCCCAGCTCTCCTGGTCCAGCCGTGCTCGACCTGAAACAAAGACAACACAAAATAAAATAAAAATTTAGCCACGTTAGTTGAAAGTTAGCATGAAATAGGACTTTGCAAAATTGTAACCGCTTGCAAATAGAAACCTGCCCAAATTGTGGGCAGTTAAGACAAAGGGGAACTAGCTTACATATTTAGATAAGGCAAACTTTGTACCAATTCTCCAAGAGTGTATATGATAAATAATTCTTGAAACTTACTCCTTCCAAACGTATAAAAAGCTGTTGTGTTTCTTTTCTCAGTGGACATGCACCCCCTGCATCTCCCAGGCCGTAACAAAAGTGTGCTTTATATATTATTTAAGGATTTCTTTGAATCAAACCCACAGCTCCTTCCTCTTTCACAGAGAAACCAAGGAAAAAATAAATAAATAAATAAAGGGTCCTAGAGCTTCTGAAGGGGCACAGGGTCCTCTGGCCACTGGCACCTTCTGTCTCAGCCTGTGTGTGACATGGGACAAGTGGGAGTTAAGTCCCTGAGTGTCCCTGAGGCTCCTTTTCCCCCTTGGAAGGGTTGGGAGACGCGGCCGCCCCGGGAGACGGGAGCCAGGCCTGGGGAATGCCCAGCCTGGAACGTGAGCCGGGTACCAAACCCTGGCAGCTGCTGGCTGGGCAGGCAGCGAGCCCAGCAGGGCCCTGGGAGCCGGGAGCCCTTCCCCTCCTGAGCCTTTAAAATCTCCAAAATAGTCCCAGGTCGGGGCATTAATTCTGTCTCCGTGTGCTTGTCCCTCCCGACATTCTCTGTCCGTCCCATCCTTGCTCCCTGCGTGGCCTGGGGGGTGTTTTTTGCTGCTGTCCCGCTCCTGGATGCACAAACCTGGCACTCAGCACCTCTGCAACCCCGGGGGGAACAGGGATTTGGGGGAAGGACCCCCTTCAGCACGGGGTTTGGCATCTCCTGGGAGCAGCAGGAGATGTGGTCCCTGCATCCCACAGCGTCCCATGGCATCCCCCTTCCTCCTCATCCTCCCCACCCTGGTTAACACCAGCACCAGGACTCTGAGGAGCTGCTGGAGAAGGATTTCTCCTCCAAAGCTGGTGATGCCATTGAACCTCTCCCAGGCAGAAAAGGGATGTGCTTCTGTTTCCTCTGTTTTTCTCTATTTTCCACTGTTTTCCTCCATTTTCCTCTGTTTTCCACTGTTTTCCACCCCGGCCCCAGCAGGAGCTGCTGGTCCCTCCCTGGATCCGGTGCCACAGCACGTGTGTGGAGGGAGGAGCAGAGGTTTTTCCCAGCTTTTCCAGCCTGGCTTTTTGCTTTTTCCCCATTCCCTGGATGTTGTGCTTTATGGAGGGAGGGGGAATATTTGTCATCTCTCCCTCCCCCGGCCGTGCCTGGCTCCGGGGGGGGGGGAGCAGAGGTGGGAGGCTGGGGGTGGGGTGGAACAGAGAGCTTTTTGTGGCCACACATCCGTCTCTCCCACTTAATTAATTTGACATTTAAGTGTGAGTTTCTCGTGCGAAGCTCCCGAGCGTTTCGTGAGCAGCACGCGGGGCAAAGGCCCCCTGTGCGTGCCCGGCACTTGGAGCAGGGTGGAAGTCAGGGCAGGAGGGAAGGATGTGGCTGGATCCAGGCAGAAGTGGCTCCTGGGGCTGCTAAACTGCCCCTGGCTGCAGCACCTGCCCCCCAAACTGCAGCACTGGTCCCCAACCCGTGTGTTTTGGGGTCAAAAAGGGACGGGATTGAACCTGGCGTCGTACGGGTGGCACGGAGATGCTTCTTTTGGCTGTTGGGGAAGTGGAAGAGGGTTTAGAGCTGTTTCTTCCAAAGGCTTTTGGTTAAAAAAGACTCAGAAGGTTAATTCTGGCCCTGGTTTTTAGCCCAGGGGTGGTGATGCACGGAGGGGACAGCAACGATTTGGGGGGACCAGCGATGGGTACCCCTGTGATCCCCACCTGGGAGCGATGCTCCCCCAGCCTCACACCCCCTTTTCCACCTCAGCATCCCAGAAGAGGCGATTCCAGCTCTCTCCAGGCTGGATTGGGATGTTCCCTGTGCCCCAGCCCAGACAGAGGCCCGTGTGTGTGTGTGTGTGTGTGTGTGTGTGTGTGTGTGTGTGTGTTTACATCTCTGCCCTCCCTCAGAACAGCTTGGCCACGGCTCAAACTATTTATTTCAAGATAAAAATAACAGCAGCAACCTCAGGGCTGCTGCTTTTTGCACGTCTAATGGCGAAACGAGGATTATTTTAGCAAGAAGGGGGGGAAGAAGCCTCAATGTGGGGGAGCCTGGGCACGGGTCCCCACGGCTGCTGCCCCAAAGTGGGACTTGAACTGGGGAGGGGGAGGCTGGAACTGGGGGGGGGGAGGAAGCGTCATCTCTCAGGCAGCACGGAGCACAACTTGTTGGCAAAACAGTTTGTTTGCCAAAAAATGCTGTTTTCTGGAGGAGGAGGGGAGTGAAGCTGTTTCATGAGCCGGGGCTGAAGAACTGCTGAGGGGGGGGTGGATTTGGAAGTGATGCTCGTATAGCAAATGTCAAAAATACAACACAGGGCAGCGTTTCAGGGGAAAAGAGTGGGAGTTTGGGTCCAAAGTGGGCATTTAAAAGACAATAAATTTGATTTATTCCTTATTTGTGCAAGCTGAGCTGTAACTGAACAGCGAGTCCCCGTGTTTGTCTCCCTCCCCAGAGCACAGAGGCAGCGAGTGGTGCTGGCTCGGAGCACCCAAGGAGATTTACTCCCCCAAACTAGGTGTCAGTGCACCATTTCTAGCTTATTTTAGGCAAATTTGGGTCCACTGGGCTCCTCACGACTTTTCCAGGTGCTGCCTGTCCCACCACTGTGTCCCTGGGGAACCTCTCCGTGTGCCCCATAAAGGACAATCAGAGGAAAGGGGAATAATGGAAATTCCCCCCCCTGTTTTGGAGGCTTTTTGGCATCATCCAGCTTTTCATTTCCCTTCTCCTCCGGGCACAGGCTCCACGTGTGTTTGCTCAGTGTTGTGGGAATCTCCTGCCAGCAGGCTGAGGGAGTTTGGAGCCGAGTGTCACAGGAGCTGCCACTTAGGGGGAGCATCAACTGCTCCAAAGCCTTGGCTCCGGCCCAGTGGAAAATCCCGGAGCTGCCAGGTATTTGTTGATGAAATGGGGTGATTTTCTGCTGCTTTAACCCACCCCAGAGGCTGCTCCAAGTGCAAAGTTCCCTTTTTTGGAGGTGCTGGGTGAGGCAGTGGCTGTGTCCCCTTTGGGCCTCTGTTGGTGTCACCACTGCCTTTGTCACCTCCTCCCAGGTGATTGATTTATTATTTACTGGGATAGTAAATAATTATTTATTACAATATACAGTAAATATAATCATTCTTTATTAGGATAAATAACACGGGGACTATAACTCCACTTTGAAGGGTGGCCCCCTCCTCCTGAGCCCGGACGAGCTCATTGCACCCCAGCCCCTGCAATGCACGACCCGGGGCACCCACTCCCCGCGCTCCCACGGCGCTAATGAGCGCTAATTAGCTGCTAATTAGCCCCAGTGGAGGCAGGTCAGCGCCCTACCAGCGTGCACGCCCCCGTGCCCTGCGTGTTGCCTCTGCAAAGGATGATTACAAACATCCCCTGCAAACCTAGGGCGGGGCTCTGGTGTTAATTACTCTGCTGTTAATTAGCCTGGCGTTAATTAGGGAGTGTGCTGATGGGGGTATTGGGGTGCTGGGACAAAATAGGGTTTCATCAGGGATGAAATAAGGTCCTGAGCTGGGTTTGCTGTCCGTGGGGCATCATCATCCCTCCGGGCTCCTTGGGACTTGTGAGTGCTGGTGCTGTGGGAATTGCATCCCGCTGGGAGCAGGAGGCACCCGGGACACAGCACCCGGGACACAGCACCCAGCAGCCTTTGGGATCCCAGATCCCTGGAATTGCGTGGGTTTGTTTTCCCTGGCATTGAAAGGAGCTTTTTGTCTCTGTTTATCCCTAAATAACTGGTTGGGTGGAATTTGGTGGAGAGCTCCTGACGAGCTGGAATTGGGCTGTGGGAGGGGCTGGGCTGGATCCTGGGGTGTCCCTGGAGCACCTCCTTCACTGTTGGGGGGGGTGTTGGAACTGTGGGGGGTCCTCACTGGGAAGGACCCCCTGAAGTTTGGGAGTGTTTGGAGTGACAACCCTCAGTGCTGGGATGGGGGTGATGCAGCTGGTTCTCCCTCTTTGCCCTCTCTCCTTTGATTGGGACTAATTAATGCCTGTTCTCCATGCCCAGGACCTGGCACTGTCCCCAAATGTCCCATTAGAGATGTCTTTAAAGCCACTGTTGGTGATCCCTGGGAATGTTTGTGTGGAAATGGGAAGAGGCTCTCCATGCTGGTGGGGTCATTGCACCCTGCTCCCTCCAGGCTGGGAACAGGTCCTGGCTGTGGAATATCCTGAATCACATCCCAAATCACACCTTGAATCCCTTCGTTTTCCATGGCAAGAGCTCTTTGGACACCCAGTGAAAAGCTGGAAGAGGAGGAGGAGGGTGGGAGGGGAGGCTCCTGCTTTCTGTGGAGGAAAACAGAGGGATTGTGTGGGCAGGGACACCACAACCTGACCCCAGAGGACGTTGGAATTCCAGGAGCTGGGAAGGGGTGGCTGAGCCTGCAGGAATCAAGAGCTCCATGTCCTGCCTCCCTCCCACCAGAGGAGCAGCAGTTTGGGTGCACACAGTGACTTTTGGGGGCTGTCTCCTCAAGGTGCTCCCTTCCAACCCTCCAGCACCTGGGATTTATGCTGGGAAAGGGCTTGGGAAGAACAGCACTGTGGGCTCTTCAGTTTGGACTCCAACACGAGATTTGCTAAAAAGCTTTTTATGTCTGTGGGGTTTTTTTGTGTTGTTTGTTTTTCCCGAGGAGCTTTTTGGCTGCTGGTCCCACCGGCCTGGGGGTGGGACTGAGGGTCTGGCTGGGATCCTCTGGCAAAGCATCCAGAGGGTCCCAGGACCCCAAATGTGGGGATTTTCCCTCTGGTCCAGCCCAAGCTGCAGGCTGATTGTGCTGTGACCCCTGGATAAGTGACATCACTGAGTCCCTGTCACCAACCTCCTGCTGTTGGTGATGCCAGGACAGGGAGGGGAGCAGCACTGGGGTGCAGAGCCCCCCTCTCCCAGCCTGCCCCCCATCCCTACCTGCACCCTCCATCCCAGGAAATTCCAGCCAGGAATCCCCCCCTGCCCCCTTATTTCCCTTCCTGCAGCCAGAGTGTTCCCCCCAATGGATGTTATCAAATCAGGATACGAGGAGGCCAAGCAGGAGTGGGAGAAGAACTGAGAGCGGGGGGAGAAGGGACCATTTCATCCCTCCTGCTCCACTTGGGATGCTCCAAACAGGCAAGGGAAGAACTTCCCATCCCCTGGGAAATGCTCTTGGTGAAATGTGTTGCGTGCCTGGGTTTTTGGGGGGTAGGAGCAACAAAGGCTACTGGTTGGAATCCCAAGAGATGAAAACATGTTGGTTTTGAGAGAGGATGCTGATGCATAGCTCACAGACTCTTAGAGAGCTGAATGATTATTGAATATAGAAGTGAAATATTTATTTCCTCGAGAAAAGGGGAAAGGATTTAAATCTGTAGACACTTGTAGAATAAATTATGAATAGAGTAACAGCGGGGCTGTTCCTGAGCCCTTCAGCTCTGCACCTCATCCTCTTGGCTCTGGGTTTGGTCTTAAAACTCCAAATTTCTCCCCCAAACCCCCAGCAGGTGAGATTCCCCTGGTGGTGCAGGCACCAGTGAGTTTGGGGCCAATCCTGGCTGCCAGGTGGGGGGATGTCACCCCAAAACCCACTCCCCTGCTGCAGGCTCAGCCCGATCCACCTGATCCTGCCTTTTCCTGGTGCAATTCCAGCTGCTCCCAGCCAGCACAGTCGGAGTTTGCCTCCAGCTATAAATATCTCAGAGCTCAGCAAAGCCCCCAAAGGGTTTGGGCACTAAATATAGTTTTTCTGCAGCAGAAAGACATATTGCATGGAGGCTGGGCAGTGGGATCTCCTTCTAGGAACGGTGAGGAGGGTTGTGATGATGGCTTTCCATGTGGATACAGGGCTGGATTCTCTCCCTACAGCCCATATCCTGGTCCCACTGTGCTCTGGCAGCTGCTCCTCTCTGGGTCTTGCTGCTGTTGAGCCCCAGCAGAAGCTGCTGCCTGAGCGTGGAGGAAAAAGGGACATAAAACATTTATAGCCCTTGAAAATCGTCAGGGAAATGTCTGTCTCTGTTAAAATAGCAGGAGCAATTAGAGGAGGGGGAAAAAAAAAACCAGAAGCCAACAGCAGGGCTCGGGTGTTATCCCAGCTCTTTTCCAGGTGCTTCCCTGCCTTGGGCTCCCCCATCCCGGCAGCTTGGAGGGGGGAACAAGGGCTGAGCCCCCTCCCATCCCAGGAGGAGCAAACCAGGCTGAAAACCCGATCTCGGGGCTCTCCAAACACATCCAGACCTGAATCTTGACTTCAAACGGAAGGGCAGCGAGAAGTTAATTGGGTTCCTTCTGCTTTCGGGGGTTTGCAGAGAGAGGGGTTGGTGCTTCCTGAGCGGGTCTGGGCGCTGTTAATTAGGGAAACTCCAAACCTGAACTTCCCCAGAGCAGCTGGAGAGGGATTTATCCCGTGTGGATGGATCCTTCCCCCCGTCTGGAACAAGGATGGGAAAACAGGCGCTCCCAAACGAGCCAAGTCCTGCGGAGAAGGGGAATTTTTGATGCTGCTTTGTTTGACCCAGTGTCTTCCAGAGGAATAAAAAAAATCTCTGTTTCTCCAGCAGGGCACAAGGGTCACTCTTGCTTGCTCAAGCTTTGCACTTCCCTGCCTAAAAATCAATGGTTTAGTGGGTTTCATAATTTTTTTTCCTCTTTTGCAAAGGTTTTAGCCTGGCTGAGGGACAGAGCTGCTTCTCTGGGGGGAGAAGGAGGGTTTCAGGATCTGCTGTGGTTGTGGGCCAGGACTGGGTATGGCTTGGAGCTTTTCCTGTTCCAGTGGCCAGTATTGTGGCACTTCTCACGGCCAAAGTTTTTGGGAAGCGAGGGCTTGTCTTGGCCAAGAGCTCCGGGGGTTTGCTCACCCCCTCTGGGTGGCTCCTGGCACGGCTTTGACCTCACTCTGTGTGAGAAAGAGGAAAGAAAATGCCAGGAGGGGAAATCCGGGGAGGAGGAGCAGGTCTGGGGGGAGCAGCCAGGAGGGTGCTGGGCGACAGAAACGGGTCCTGCCCCTGCCAGAGGCAGGGGGGGCACCTGGAGGGGCACATTGTCCTGGAGCTGATGGTCCTGCTGAAGGGTAGGAAATAACTAACCTGGTGTGAACCCAAACTGACCTGTTTTGACTCGCAAATGAGGGGTCAGTTGGTGTTTCAGGCTAATGAATGTCTTGGCTTTGTTGATTCTGCAGCGATGTTCCTTCCCCGTGGGATCACACCGCCCCAAACCCACAGGGAAATCTTCCCAGGTTGTGAAATCAAAACTTTGGGCCCTGTTTCCTTCCCCCCACTGGGCTGTGAGAGGTTCTGGGGTTCCTGTTTTCAAGCTTTTCCAGCTGACTTTGGAGCTGGAAGTGCTTTTCCAAGCACAAGGTGAATGCCTTGGTTCGTGGAGCTGAGGATTTGAGGAGCACAGGGTGTGTGGAGGGAGGTGGTTTTTCATGGAGAGGTTCTTCCTTGCTGTGAGACATCTCCCTGGGGGAACAAGCTGAGCACTGGCTGGAAAAGCCCCTCCCTGGTGGCTGCCAGGGTGTCCTGGTGCCCTGGGAATGTGTTTTCATGGAGTTTTCTCCCTGCTGGCATTTTCCTCCTGCTCTGATGACTTTTGGGTGGTGGGTGAGAAGGGCTGTGGGGTTCGAAATGGGGGCCTGGGTGTAGCTGGGGGGTGTTTGCCTGGGGGTGCTGGTGCCCATTCCCACATGGAGATCCCGGTGCCCATTCCCACGTGGAGATCCCAGTGCCCATTCCCATGTGGAGATAGCAGTGCCCATTCCCATGTGGAGATCCTGGTGCCCGTGCCCATTCCCACATGGAGATCCCAATGTCCATTCCCACGTGGAGATGCTGGTGCCCATTCCCACATGGAGATCCCGGTGCCCATTCCCATGTGGAGATCCTGGTGCCCATTCCCAGGATGCATCCCAGGGATGCAGGTATGACTGAAGTTCCTCCACAGGGATATTGGTGCCCATTCCCATCCAGGGATTCTGGAACATTTGGTGGTTTCCCCCCAGGGATCCTGGTCCCTCTGGCAGCCCTGCCATGGGGATGCTGGGCCCTGTCCCCCCTCGGGGGTCCTGCTGTCTTTGGCCCCCCACCAGCAGAAGAAAGAGGTTTCTCTCCTTCCTTTCTTCCCCTCTCAGTCCTCCCTGGCCGGGCAGAACATTTCTTTCCTTCCTTTTGCCTCCTCCTCTCATTCTTTCAGCCAGTTGGCACTGAAACAAACCACTCTGGATGGAAAAAGAGGCCTCGGGTGCAGTGAAACCCCCTCCTCTTGTGCTGGTAGTTTGTTCCTCACCTGCTTCCAGACCATATCCAGGAGCTGCTGGAGCTGGTTTTGGCTTTCCCTCTGCAACAATATTTTGCTTTTTCCCTCCACAATATTTTGATTTTTCCCTCCACAACAATATTTTGATTTTTCCCTCCACAACAATAAGTTTTTCTTCCACAGCGATTCTGGAAGTGCTGAACAAGTGACACAAGACGTGTCAGGAAAGGGGCATTTCCACCACGAGGCTCAGGCTGCTTTGAATCTTTGCTGCCGTAGAAAGAACAGGAGCAGAAACCTCCTCCCGCCTGGATTTTTTTTTGCTGCGGGAAAACAACAGGTTGTGAAATAACTATTGGCATTTCTCGCCTCGGGGGAATTCCCGGTGCCGTCCCCAATCCAGCCCTGCAGGTGGACGCTGCCAAATGCCTGTGAGTGGGGAGATGCTCAGGAGTTTCTTTTTTTTTTCCTTAATGGGAAAAGCCCGTGTTCCTACGGAAAGCAGTGGGTTTGTGTGGTCCTGAAGGGAAGGAGCATCCAGGAGGCACCGGGAAAAGCTTTTGGCTTTGTACTCGGTGGTGCGAAAAAGGCTTAAAAGAATTAAAAATAGAGCGTGGAAGGAGCGACTTTGGAGCAGGTGCTTCTTCTTGGAAGAGCTGCGGGCTCTGGAATGGCAGCGAGGGCTGGGAGAAGGAGCCGTGTCGTGTGTGGGAACGGGGTCCTGAGCTGGTTGGAGCCGCAGCGAGCGTGTGATTAAAGCCGACAGCTGCTCCCATCCCACCGCTCCCTTCCCGCCGGGATCGGCGCTTTGGAAACGCGAGCATCCCCCGGGAGCGGCCGCTTCGGGTGTGAAAACGCGGGGATGCGTCAGAAGCGGGGACTCCCAGCCCGGTTGTGCTCACGGAGAGGGGGTTGGGCTGGGGAGGGGGCTTAGCTGAGCCCGGCCCAGCCCCCGAGCCCGGCCCACGTCCCGCCGGGCCGCTGGAAAGTAGGTCGTGGCCGCGCTGCCGTGGCCGCTCCGTCCTACATATGGAAATCGGGGCTATTTCTGGCCGCTCCCGTGACGGGCTCGGCCCCTCCCGGCCCCTCCGCGGGGCCCTGCCCTGCTCCAGCCCTGCTCCAACCTCTGGGGATGCTCCTGGCTCGGCACCGTTGGGATGAAGCTTTGGGATCAACTCCCAGCCCAGCCAGGCAGAAGGAGGGAGGTGGAAGCTCTGCCCTAGTCCTGATGTGGGTGCTGGGCTCCCTGCCTTCATCCCAGCCTGTGGATCCCACCCTGGCTCCCTGC